CACACACTCTCCCCATTACAGACCTCCTACCCCCACCCACACACTCTCCCCATTACAGACCTCCTACCCCTACCCACACACTCTCCCCCTTACAATTACAGTCCCAGTCCCTCACCTTGAGGGTGTAGACCCTCTGCCCATTACTATCCAGATAAAAATGCAGGAACATGTTTATCTCTCTCTGGCTCCCACGTGGAGATACTCTGTGTCTGTTTGGGGAGGAAGAAGGCTCGCTTCCTGGTCCTCTTCTTCCGGCTTCCGGGGTGCGGGAGGGAGACTTCCGCCGGGCGGCGCGAAGCACGCCGGGGGTTGTAGTCCTCTCGTTTGCGGGCGGCGATCTGGAGGGAACGGGGGCGGAACAACGGGCGGGCGGGGCGCAGTGCACCCCGGGAACTGTAGTCCTGCCTGCCCCGCCCCCCCTCCATCCGCGTGAGCGCCGCGGGACCGGGAACTACAACTCCCGGCAGATCCCGGGTGGGCCGGGCGCATGCGCACCCCCTTCCAACGCGTGGCAACGTCAGATTAGCCCCGCCTCCCGGAGCCGGTCTCGCGCTGGCTTTGACGGTTGGCGCTTTTCCCGCCTCCCCCCCTCCCCCCCCCCCCCCAATAGTCGGGTCAAGAATCGGCCGATTATTCGCCGATTAGTGACCGATTATCGAGGTCCCCGCGCCGGGGGAGAGCGGGGATCGGCTCAGGGGGACGCCAGGGGCCTGATACCCACCGATTCTCCCCTCTCGCCTTTGTCTGGGGCGGTTTTTGTTTCTATTTCCGTGTGTGTCGTCGGTTGCTTTGTTTCTAACTAATCGATTAGTATCGTCACCGGCGTTCGGCCTTTTCCAATCGCAGGTCTTCAACCCTCTTTGCCCCCCACCCTTCATTCCCCCCATCCCCCTCTTCATTCCCCCCACGGCCGCCGCCGGCCGGCATAGCCGATTCTAATCGGTTTGGAGGTCCCCAACTGTACCCCCTATCCACCCCACCCCCATCACCAAGTATCAGCGATTAATCGCTCTACCCACCCCCACCCTGGGCAGTACTGATTCATCTCTTCCCTCCCACCCTGGGGAGCGTTAATGTTTAATCAGCGATTAATCGCTCGGTCCTGCCGCCATCCCAGGAGCATTACCAATTCTCTGGTTCCTGCCCCTGACCCCAGGAGTATTGCCGATTAATCTCTTTGGATTGCAGGGGCATCGGTGATTAATCGCTCTTGACCCCGCCCCCCCCCCCCCCCCCCCCCACCGAGAGCGTTGGTGATTAATTGCTGACCCCCCTCCGACCGTGGGAGGATCGGTGATTAATCGCTCCCGACCGCGGGAGCATTGGTAACTAAGTCACTTCTGACCACAGGAGTATCGGCGATTAATCGCTCCCAACCCCGGGTGGTATCGGTGATTAGTCGTTAGCCCTGTGCCCCCCCACCCCACGCCCGGCGATTACAGACCCCACCAGGAGAAAAGGGGCAGGCGGTGGTCGACTGATTTCGATACTATCCCGTTGACCCGTGTGTGTTCCTTTTTATTGGCGGAGAGTGATGCGCCGGGCAGGCGGGGGGTGTCGGTGACTAGTCGGGCCATGTCGGTGAGATTTACGGTGACCCCCACGCGCGCCGAGGATGTCCTGGCGCTGGAGGGGGGCTGGGACCCCAAGGACGGTGCCCCCGAGCCTGGTGACCGGGAGAACGAGGCAGCGGCTGGGACACCTGTGCTGGCAGCGGAGCCTGGCACCGAGCAGGGTGAGTGTGTCAGTGTATAACACTGGGGTACAGTACCGGTGGGGGACGGGTCTGTCTCTGTATAACACTGGGATACAGTACCGGTGGGGACGGGTCTGTCACTGTATAACACTGGGGTACAGTACCGGTGGGGACAGGTCTGTCTCTGTATAACACTGGGGTACAGTACCGGTGGGGGACAGGTCTGTCGCTGTATAACACTGGGGTACAGTACCGGTCGGGACAAGTTGCAGAGTTTAATTTCGATCTTCCTGCATGTTGCACGAGCCTGTTGCTGTGGTTTAGTACGAGCCTGTGTGTGTGAAGGGTCACAAGATGCGCTTCCCCTTTGTGTATGTGAATTTAAAATGCTGTCCTGAATCTGAGTCACACGACTTTCTGGTTGAGCGATGAGCTGTCTTTGCAAGAGTAGAGTAGCTGACCCCACCCAGCCTTCTTCCCACTGACTCCAAGCCACTTTCTTTTCTGAAAGCCCAGAACGTATTGGTTTCATTGAAGACAGTTTTTGTGTGGCTGTCAGACACTGCTGTAAAATGTTTGCACACGCAGAAACTTTCCACAGTGAATTCAGTGTCCGAATATGTTTCAGTGGGTAACCTCCCATACGCAACAAGCGCTCACTACTGCTCTGACCCTCCGACAGTGCCCGCTCCCTCAGCGCTGGCCCTCCGACAGTGCAGCGCTCCCTCAGCACTGACCCTCCGACAGCGCCCGCTCCCTCGGCGCTGACCCTCCGACAGCGCCCGCTCCCTCGGCGCTGACCCTCCGACAGCGCCCGCTCCCTCGGCGCTGACCCTCCGACAG